AGTACTCTGAGGCCATCAACACGACATTTTCATCTCCGTATTGCTTATTGTCAATTGAGAAGCCTTATTAGCGACGAAGTGAAAAGTTCATATGCCATTTTTACAACGAACCTCTGGAGCGAATCCCCCATACGTTGTCATGCCCCTTGGATCCCTCTCGCTCCGGGGCATGCACTCTGTTCCCTTCACCTTGGACCGAAGGCCCACTAACTCCGGCCTAATCTTGCCTAGGTCCCCCCCTTTAAAAAAAAAAGTGGAGGTTTTCTCAAGACAGACACGTGGAGACACTTTCGATCGGTGATTAACATGACATCCGTACGTGTGCCAGCCATCGACGTGCCCAAGACCCGAACCGGTCCTTGCCACGGGAGTCACCAGGCAAGCCTCTCTTCCGATCCATCATACTGGACTGAGGACCATGTCAGGCTCTACTACAGTCTCAACGTTCACAGTATCATCTGGCTAGATCTACATTGCTAATATGGAAAGTTGAGTTTCCTTCGGATGCTTTGATACGTTCCTTCCGCTAACGGCGTTTCCCTCGACTTCAGTCGTCGAATCCGGTAACCTCCGTGGGAGGATATAATCTGTTTTCTTGCTCCATTCGCGATTCACCTTCCAGGTCTTATTTCTAAATTGTAGTGTTCAAAGTGCCAGTCCGTCTTTCTTGTCACGCAATATTGTTCACGTGGTGTTGAGTTCTGCTACGAACTCTTTGTCTACAACGCTTCTTTTTCCTTTAGTTCGTCCAGGATGGGAAATTCCTTGCAGTCACACTTCATTCAGGATTTCGTTCTTCGAGAGCGAAGTTTGAAACAATCGAATTCAAGGAAAGGAAAATTGCAGAAACCGTTCGAAATGCAATCTTATGATGCAAAACACCTCGTGCAGCATTTCGGGCTCGAATTGTCGAAAACGTTCAAGTCGGAAGTAATGTACAATGTGGAACATTAACCGCGATTCCTCAGCCGCATTTCGGTTTTGCTTGGCAAGTTCGTACAGTTAGTTGGTTGCACGAGGAAAAGAAATCCATGATGATTTCGTACAAGAAATCGTTCTTTGGGACTTTTACATTGCCATTCAGGATATTACCGAAGAGATGAACGCCAGAGTGATTCAGATGCGAGAGAAATGCTCGGAGTTCGGCCTAGACCAGAGAGGATTCAAGAAGTACCTGAAACCCGACCCCTGGGAGTACTACATCAACAACAACTTCAACCTCGTTTGGTGCCCCATTTTTAAGGTGTGCTCACATTTTTCTCCCTGAATTGGCTCTTAAGCTGCGTCTCGCCGAATGTGCTTTTCGGCGAAGAGCAATACCGTTAACGTTTTGCAGAGAATCACCATGAAAAGAATCGGCTTCTTTTTGTAAAACTATAATTAATTTGGAGCAATTTTCTTGCTTCATCCAAGCGTGACTTTCACGCCACAATATAAGTCGAACACGAAAAGGTATCAAAATGTAAGCCGGCAAATGTGGGAAGAATTCTCTCAAAAAAACTCTCAAGGTCTCTGCATCTGACCCTACTGGACGCTTCAACTTACGTTTACATCTCCCTCACATGTGTTACGTTAAGGGGAAAAATTATTGAACAATGAGGGCGAGCGGCCGATAAGTCTTCGTAATGAATGTGTTAACACATCTTGCCTAGCCTATGGCCTGGGAAGGCTAAAGGCTGCTTGACCTATCGTCTGCGTAGCCTTTGCTTTGTAAAGACACAGGCTTTTTGTTCATTCGGCGACCTGACCTAGGGCCTGGAGAGGCAAAAGCTTTGTAGGCCCATTGGCTACACATACCATGGAACATCTCAACACTTGTGTTTGTATGTCTGTTCATTATGCGCGGCAATACCTCTGATTCTAGTCTAACCAAGGCTTCTCTATTTGGTCCGGGGATGGTCATAGGCTAAGTGGCGTTTCGAACTATGGACTCTCTGGAGTACCTTATGATTCACTACTACAGCCCACTTAAAAGGAGTCAAAATTTTGGAGGCTAGCCGTATTTGCCATATGGGACGTATTTGAGGGTGCCAATATTGACTATTCACCCGTGCAACGCCTGGTACCGCTGCTAGTACTCTAATGTGGTATGGATGGATATTCAATGCATCAATTTAGCTTTGCGCTTATTGGTTAGGTATATGATGAACTTACGCGGCATCGAACATTTCTTGATGTATTTCAGCCGCATCGAAATTTGTTTTTCATGCCCTGCGTCTCAGCCATACCAAAAACGTTCCTGCAAAGTCCCCATATGATGCACGTGGCATGCCTGAGGTAAATCTACTAGTAATTCTTCCCAGCAGAAGCAGTAGGACCTCATTGGACCTTGGATTTACTCAGGCTCAAAAGTGCAATTCCCTCTGTAGAAGGTATCATTTTGAATCAATATTGCTCTTTCTTAGCTCTTACCATGTGGGGTCCCTTTTGGACTTCATGCAAGATTTTCGTAATAAAATATCTGAAGCTGCAGGAAAAGACTCTTCAATTTGAACGGACAATATAATAAAATATATTGCGCGTCAATACTTTTGGAAACATGACTGAAAAGTGCAATTCCATGGAGAAATATTCCCAGACGCCTGGGGAAGCTTAATAGATTCGGTCAAAGTTTTAAACCAGAAACATCACATAAGAGTAGATACATCCCATGAGTATGGTATATGGGGAAAAAAAGTTATGCTCGCGACGTGATGCACCTAATGAGGCCAGAAACAATTTAATCTCGGAAATTTCTTTCATTTTATGCAAAGCCAAGCCAACTGTAATTCGTTAGCAGAATAACACGTCTTTTTTCCGTGGTAATTATGGAAATGTAAGTTGCAAGAAACTGTAAAGAAGCTGTTGAGGTTTTATAGAGCTTCGAGAAAGTTTATTTGGAATTACATGGGTTTTACCAAAAGTCGCCTTACTATGATAGTTGATACAACGGTGCCAGTGTAAGGTTGAATAAGATTTTCTACAATGTGTCTGTTTTCTTCGGCGCTTGCGTGTGAATCCCTCGACTTTCAATACATTGCTCATTTGTTCATGTCCTTCCTCGACACGAAGTGGAAGACGATGGTTAACTTGCTTCTAGACGATGCGAGGCCACTCAATCCCCCCCCCCCCCCATCGACTCAGCTACGCGTTTCAGGCGACTCGGTACGGTCGGGAAGCGACTATTTAAATCGAAAATCTAGTTGATGCCTTTTTCTTTTGAGAAAAATAAATCGAAATTTGAGAGAAATGCATAATTTCGATATACTGATTTCTTAGTGTAAGTCATTGACAAAGGTATATAAACTTCAGTAACTTCTGCATATACACATGGGATGTATCTGTCTGTAGAAGGAAAAGTTTATCAATGACGTAAGAAAGTTATATAGGGAAGCTAGTATTACCATATGCCGCTCTCTGGAATTGTTAAACCTAGGTAAGGAGGCTTCAAGCAAAATTGAAATATGAAATACTTCCTTGGAGGAATGTCACTTGAAAACTGCAGACCAATCACCTATCCCGAGATAAACGCTGGCTTCAATCGTCCATCTTAGATGAACTTACAGTGGCGGATTCATTTCTGCCGCTCTTACGATTATCGTATACTTCATCAACAAATTACATTGTCGATGTATCACCTGGAGGTATGCTGGTGAAAAAGGACTCAAGCACTAATGACAGGCTACTAAATAAGTGCAGACACATTTTTTAATCTTGTGTGCAACTTGGCTTTAGCTTCCGACTAAGCACACCATTCCTTTTACGATTCAGCCAAACGGCGCTCAGTCCACGAACTTCTTAAGTTACCACATTTCTGGTGTATCTCTCTAAATTCTTCCTTTTTTTGCGCGCTAGTCAAATCACTGACAATTATACCAATATACCTTTGCAGGCCGGCGCATCTTCCATGTTGTACAGTTTTTTGTTACTGTCCGGTGAAGTGACCGAAGAAGATATCGAAGAGACGCTGAAGAAAGACAAGACGATGCTCCCCTTGGCGAGGAGTCTTTATCCCAGACCGTCTGTGAAGGATCTCGCGGCTGCCACCGAGGAGGATGGAGGTTCCATCGTCTTCCTCATCGTCCGGGATCCCTTTCAGAGGCTCTACTCCGCCTATCAGGACAAGATCCTCAACTCATTTCCTGGAAGCTACCATGATGAAATGGGTCAAAAGATAGTTCGCAAGTATCGGAATTACTCCTTGAAGGAAATATCAACTTTAAAAAGCTTATTCGACGACAAAAAGCCCACCTTTGAGGAATTTGCTCGACACGTCTTGTCGCAGAACCGCCATGGAAGTATGGACATGCATTGGATTCCATACTATCAATTTTGCACGCCGTGTCAGGTGGGTTGATATTTTTCTCCAGGAACCATCCGTAACGATATACTCAAATGTCTTCTGAGAAGTTTCACCGTTGACTGACGGGAAGAAGAGGAATAACTGGGAGCTCACCCGAGCCCAGTCAGGCAGGTGTAACTGTTAGAAAGTTTTGGAGCATATAAAAATTGAAAAAGATGTAGCTGACAGGAAGTGAAAGGGGGACAATGGCAAATTCACTTGCTTTCATTGTACGTGAAACACATTCCTGACGATATGCAAATGTCTCGCTTCACCAGTGAACATAAGTAAATCCTGACCGAACGGATTCCTTCAAGGACGTTTTTGCCTTTCTTTTCGGGAATAAAAAATTCGATTACACTGGGTTACTCGCATGATAAATTCAATTGCGCTTAGGAATTTATCCTATTCCCTTCTCCCGGTAGATGCCCGAATGGATTACTTAATTTCCGTTTCAGTGAAGATGGAAATAAGTATGCAGGGTCCAGTTACCGTTTTGCCGACATTCTGAAACTGAAATGCCTAAAACTGATCGAAAAGACTGACATGAAATGATTTTTCTTCAAGAAAGTTGGAGAACTAGAAGCTAGCTTGTATATTTTCTTAGTGTTTCCAACGACTCGACACGAAAGAGCTGACATATCAAGACACAAATCTCTCTTAATTCGAAATGATTGGTAAGAGACATGAACAATAAATTGAGGTTTCACGCCTGAAGTACTCGTGAGAGAACTGATGAATTCATCACATCTGTGCGAGTTTGGATATGGTCAACTCTACATAATCTATGCATGGATCTTCTCATGAAAGTATATAAATGAGTTTTCCGAGCAGATTTCTTCTTCACCCGTTCCACGGACTTGATCGCGAATTGATGAGAAATACCTTCTCATCTCGGTTACGCTTTGGGATCTCTTGGGAACAATGTACAACTAAGACTTGAAGTGTGGCTGTGAGGAGTGACTAAATTACAGCTTGTGTGTTGGTTAGGAAATCCTCGACTCACAATTATTTCCCTGTATTCTATTCGTGCACTAGGTCCATGTGAATATGATCCTGAAAGTAGAGAATCTTGACGAAGAGCAGACTTTTTTGTTCGAGAAGATCGGAGCTTTGGATTTGGTTCATCCTCGTTGGGAGAATAGAGGCCACCCTTCCAATAAAATCAAAGAAGAGGATGTGGTAAAGGTCATCGCGAGACTTCCCGAAGATGTCCTTCAAGGCCTCATCGACATATACGAAAAGGATTTCGAGCTATTTGGGTATTCCATCGGGAAGTACAAAGTGACGATAGACCACCCTTCGTAATTCCTTGAATTATGAAAGCGATCGTGCAATGCATGGAAATCCACCATTAAAGTTATTTGCCATCGTCTTGGGCGTTTTAACCCAACTTCCTTCATATTCCATGTGACTATGGAACGCGAAATGAATAGGCGCTTGGGAAGGGGTTGAGTAAAGGGAATAGGCGCCCATTACAAAGTTCCACCTGCACTTCTACCGGAAAGTGATGGTATATCTTGTTCAATTAGGTGACAAAATGAGGGTTTCCTTTTCTGAAAGGATGCCCACTACTCGACTGGGCTATTCCAACTGGCTTTCGTTGGGGAGGGGATGGGGGAGGTAAGCTGCCGCCTGCCTGCCCTGTTCCTATAGTGCTTCATTTTCTGTCAGGCGGAAGCCCTTTATGACTCAAGAATTTGTCCTTGAGGTTCGCATTTGCAATCAAGACATTCTGGGATTCAGCGAGATATTGTGAAAAACGATAGAAACGCATGTCAGACGAAGAAAATTAAAATAACCAGGAGGATAATTTTCCTTCATGCGCTCATTCTGTTTCACTCTCTAAATCGCCGTCTCCTCCCAGAGGCACAATGACGCGATTCATGATGTTGACGGTCCCCAAAGGGAATCTGGTCTCTTCCTCGACATGATGGACTGTCATGTGAGGCTGGAATGTCATTGATCACTTGACGAATCATTGCCAGGGCATCGGAGTCTTTCAGGGGTCTGATATATAACTTCCTCAGTTGTCTTTTTTGTTCAATGACCATTTATTTGTACAGCATGCCCTTTACAGAAAGAGGATACAAGATGGGAAGGAGTGGAATATACAATTTGGGGATATAGAAAGGTGGTTTGTCTTCAGTTGTGGTTAGAGTCCAGGTCTTGGGGTTGGGTGGGTCCGCGGCCAGCCACCAGGTGGTGTT